AGGTGCGCCGTTACAAGGGTCGCACACAGCTGATCTCACCGAGCTTCAAACACTACTACTGGTACTGCTGCTGCTTGTCACCTGAATTCACAACGAAGTCGAACTAGCTCAAATGCTTTGACAGGTTTGGCCTTATTGAACTAACGAAGCTGGATGGTCCAGGCCCCAAAAACCTGTTGCAAGATTCCCTCTTAACGGCTACCAAAGGCTATAGAGCAGCTCGTTGGTGGCCCGGCCGTACTGCTGGATGTAGTGACCTCATGCATCAGGCGGTGCTCAAGCTATCTGAAGTGAGGCAAAATGACATGTGAGGCGTTTAAACTCTTGGACAAAGAACATGCATGATTGAAGCTTCTCAAAGCATTCAACAACATCACTTTGATAAACGATCTATTGTGATGGCAAAAATATTTCGTTTGAGCTCCATGCAGAGCTACTGGTGGAACTGGATGTAGTGACCTTTGTCCACAGATCTTGCTCTCTTTAGAGACATGCAAAGCAAACAAGAATTCGAGCAGGGCTCAAGTCCCGTGCTGATGTGCTTGTCGTTGTACTAGTAGTCACCTGAAGCCATTTGCAAGAACAGTGAAAGAACTTCAGTTGACATGAAACATTGCCATAGAAACGTGGACACTGAAACAAGAAACGCTATGCCGGGGAAAGAGCATGAAAGAGTACTACTTGGCCGTTAGACAGACGTTGCCAACAGATTTGGTTGCTGTCATTCTGTAAGCCTAGGAAGGCAATTCGACAAACTATGCACAACAAGTAGAAGTAATTGCGATGGGAACCCAAACCCAAGACAAGAAAGCAACTTTTAAGAAAGATAAAAGTAAAGAGCACTTCGTTGGTGGCCCGGCCGTAGTGCTGGACGTAGTGACCTCATGCATCAGGCGGGGTGGGAGAGTCACTTTGGAACACAAGTTTTAGTTCACTTTCGAACACAGGGTTTTAGTTCACTTTGGAATCAGGCGGTGCTCAAGCAATCTGAAGTGAGGCAAAATGACATATGAGGCGTTTAAACTCTTGGACAAAGAACATGCATGATTGAAGCTTCTCAAAGCATTCAAAAACATCACTTTCACAAACGATCTTGTGATGGCAAAAATATTTCGTTTGAGCTCCATGCAGAGCTACTGG